TTAGCAACCCAGATAGTTGGCTTGTTCCCCCTCGTCGATATTGGTAGGGTCTTCTGCCATCCTGGGTGTGTGGGGGGGGGGGGGGGGGGGGGAAGTGGTTGTGCGGTATTAGATAGATGGCTAGCTTGCCCAGTTCGGTATGGGTAGCGTCTTCGGCCATCCAGGCTGTGCGTGTGTGTTTGTGTGGATTGTGTGTGGTGCGTGGGAGAGTGCCTGCCATAGACACTGCTGTTACTGGATGGGCGCGGGGAAGTAGATGGCTGCCCCTTTCCCCCCCCTCCCTCTGGCGGCCCCATCCTACTCCCTGACCACCCCCATTTAGGGAGGGGGGCCACCATGCATCCCCTTAATTGTGAGATGTAGCTCAGCTTGCAGGGGTCCCCTGTATAGGCTTAGGAGTAGTGGCAGGTAGGCAGTGAAAGGTGAAATTGAGAGAAGAATATAGCTTAGTTTTAAAAAAAATTGAGAGAAAAATATAGCGGAGTTAAAAAAAAATGCTCAACCCCTCGGCTCTGCAGGCCGCTGACATTTGCCACACCAATTTTGCTAAGTTGATGGGCGGGTGGGCTAGTGTGATTGCAAAACCATAGCACTCCAGAAGCTAAGTTCACGGATTGACGAACATGTTCAATGCATCTGGTCAAACGGAGGCGAGTGTTCAAAGCATCTGGTCAAACCGAGGCGAGTGTTCAAAGCATCTGGTCAAATGGAGGCGAGTCTTCAAAGCATCTGGTCAAATGGAGGCGAGTGTTCAAAGCATCTGGTCAAACGGAGGGGAGTGTTCAAAGCATCTGGTCAAAGGAAGGCGGCAAAGCCCATTGGAGAAAAATGTCTTCCTTTGCAGAAGGAAATTTGAAATGTCCCTCTGAAAAAAAAAGCAAAACAGAAAGAAAGTCCTTCTGAGGGCTTACTCACACTTGCGCTTTCCTAAGTGTATCTGACGCACAGTTACAGCAGGACATGGATATGAATCTGGCCGCAATCACATCTGAAGCTTAGTAGAAAAAGTCCTAGTGTGAGTATGGGCTTCGCTCCACTACTCAACACTCTACATGCACTTAGACTCCTTTTTGGACCAGGTGCGTTTATAGCGTTCCAACATTTGCAAACACGAGCTCCAGATACATCTAGAGTATTGAGTAGTGGAGCGAGGCCCTATGCCCTGAATTGTTTGAGTTCGTTCCTTTGCGGGTATGGCCCTGTCAGGCAGGTGTGCAGATTTGCAATCTGGCCCTGTCAGGCAGGTGTGCAGATTTGCAATCTGGACCTTGCCGTTGGGGCCTGGGCTTTGTGCAATCGGGCTTTGGAAAAGCTGGCATTGCTTGGCAAGTACAGGGGCATTTCACAAAGTTGGACCGGCAGGGGTATATTGCAAAGATGGGGGGTCCAACCAATGCCAGGGGTATTTCACAAAAGGTGTTTTTGGTCAGAGGGCCATTCTGCTCTATTCACATCTTTTAGGGGCATTTTGGCATATATCTTAACTTACAGGGGTATTTTGCAAATTATTCCATAAACAAACAAACAAACAAACAAACAAACAAACAATCAAATAATAAGTAGATAAATAACCAAATAAACAAATAAGTAGAAGGGCGGTCTGTAGTAGACTTTCATCAATCTTCCACAGACTCATTGGGATATAGGGCAAATTGCAGATATACCCTTTTGGAAATAAATGAGAACAACCGTAACAACAGGTCCGTGCAGGTATTGGGACAAAGAAACACGTTCCGCGGCCTTTTTCGACACGAATCTGAGCAGATTTACGCTCTGTGATGCTCCTCCAGCCATTTTCGACATGAATCTGAGCAGATTTAGGGCATCGCCACACCAATGAGAATGAACTTCTCGCTAGAGTATGGCCAGATGCGGCCGCCACATTTTTGTCTTTTTCACATTTCGACAGTGGTGTGGCGAGGCCCTTACCCGTCCCAGGGGGTACCTCCTTTTGCAACAGAGGACCTGTGGGCGTTGTAGTGCTTGCCTCACAACAGGCGACCCTTGGGCCTCGTAGTGCTTGCCTCAGGCCAGGCCGGCGGGGCCTCTTCCTTTTGCAACAGAGGACCCGTGGGCCTTGTAGTGCTTGCCTCAGGCCAGGCCGACGGGGCCTCTGTGCAAAAGAAGGTAGGTACCTCCTTTTGCAACAGAGGACCCGTGGGTCTTGTAGCGCTTGCCTCAGGCCAGGCCGACGGGGCCGCAACAGAGGACCGGTGGGCCTTGTAGTGCTTGCCTCAGGCCAGGAAGGTAGGTACCCCCTTTTGCAACAGAGGACCGGTGGGCCGTGTAGTGCTTGCCTCAGGCGAGGCCGACGGGGCCTCTGTGCAAAAGAAGGTACCGAACGGTAAATCTGGTCAGGTCGCCTTTGCAACAG